AAGATGAACAAGAAAACACAGGGCGGAAATTACGGCTGATTTTGGTTACATTTAACAGGTCTGTCACAACTGGTAGGTGAATTCAAAAGATGTCGCGTATAGCTTATTTTTTGCGTAGGTATAACACCACTTCAAGATACAAATAAAAAACTGTCTTTTAAGTGGTTCGAATTGTGCCAATAAGGACGTAGAACAAAAAAACGCAGTGAATCCCAAATTGGTCCTCTAAAAGGTTTTAGTTATGGTAGAGGTTTTACGGCGCTCTCAACTGCATAAGGTCATATGAGCGTCAGAAGATTAGAGGTGCTACAAGTAACAAAAGGGTAACAAACATAAACAAGAAGGGGAGATAAGGACGACAAATGTTTGATAGGAAAGAAGAAGCAAACCTCACCCGAACACCCGCCAACCACCCACTCTCTAAAATAAAACAATAAAGAAGAATAAACACGGTTAGAAAGAAGACAGAATGTACGCTATGTTAGTGTGTTAGTGTTTTAGCGCCTATAAAAGGCTGATTGCACTGTATGCTTCCCAGGAAGTTGAGGTTATTTCAGAATGCTCTCAGGTCTGCTGGGGTAAAAGTATAGATTGTGAAGCGCATAGAACTTGCTGTTGAGTGTGGATTTGCGCCATACAAATGCTATCTATTATTATCATTACGCTATCATAACTATCACACTTACCCACCTGATCGCAGACATTCGTGCGTTCTATTACATATATATCCCTGTAAGAGTTGAACCTGCTATTGGTGTGATGCGGGGACTGAATGCAGACATGACCTCTAGATAGCAAAGAGAATATCCCAGTTCCCCCAAATTGTAGGATATTCCGTCCTTGTATTCGTAAACTGACGAATCCAAAAGCAAACAAAGGGGCGCATTCGACCTTTTTGTGAAGTTATAATATAATTAACAATATGTCATGTTAAACTATTTATGTGAAGCGTGCTGTCAAAATGGGTTACTTCTTGGATGTTATCCTTATGGAAATATATACGTCACGCCTATAGGGGAAGTTTTTACAATTTATTTATAAGTATGAAAAAATAAAAGGCATTTTGTACTTTATGCATACGTCATAATTAGAAAATCTATAAATTTCAATGTAGCATCGATTTTTGGCCAATATCTCTGTTTGTGGATTGTGAGAAGTAACTCATTTTGTCAGCTCGCCTCACACATAATTGTGATTAATCGGTCATTCAAAGGTCTAGAAACTTACCTTCACATTGCAGGATTTGTAGCGCT